ACAGTGACCCTGGGACCCCAGGGCCCTGGGTGTATCACTTCTTCTCCTAGAGCCACTATTTCTGGCTCTAATGAGCTCTGTCCTGTCTGTCTCATGGGGCTGCTATGATAAAGTGTGTAGAAGCCAGTGCAGAGAGCCAGCAATTTTATTACTTGAGAGAGGCCTGGGAGATGAGGCTAGAAGTTCAGGAAAGAGCCACGAGTGCAAGCTGAAGAATCTGGATGTTTTCCTGGCACATCCTCCAGCCACCCCTCCTGTGTCCATGGCAGACATTGCAAGTTGATCACAGCTCTTCTACCCAGTGAGCCAGTTCTCAGTCTGAGTCCATCTCCAGTCTGCCACTGATAGAGGCTGGCAGGCCATATGGAGCCTGTTTGCCACCCCAGCAGGGCAGTGGCATCAAAGGGCTGGAACCTGAGGAAGGTGTGAAGGTAGACTTCTCCCAGTACAAGGTGAATTCTCATATTCTGGGGTCCTGCCACATTGACTGGGACATTTTGGAAAGAAACAGCGGTTTTTTATGAGTAGCAATGGCTGGCTTTTCTTTGTCTTCCCTCCCCCACCACCCACTCTAGTCCAAGCTTGCACCTTCACCTTGGGCCCTGCCATCACTGACCTGACAGCACCATTCATACTCCGTTTAGGGGAGAGGGTGGCAGGGGAGCATCTTCTTCCTGCCTCTCCTGCCTTCCACCCAAGCCATGTGGAGCCTTGAGCCCAGGTCTCCTGAGGCCTGCCCAGATGTCCTCTTTTGTGCACTCCTGGGCTAAGTGAGTCCGACTCAGGCCACTCATCTCTTCCTCTCCAGGGCAGGCCGAACTCTTGGGTGACAGACCCATCAGCAGCAGGAGTGCCTCTGAGCCTCCTTTTCTCGAAGTCTCTTCATGCAGGGTGAGCGTCCTCTGCCCCAGTCAGGGGAGGTCGGCCTAGGAACAGGGGAATGGCGTGGTCACCTCAGGGCAGGGTGCAGGGAGCTGTCAGCCTAGAGGCAGGTCAGGAATGGGGGTGTCCCTTTAAGAGTTGTAGAGCCTTTGCATCCTGACCATAAGCCCCAAAGAATGATTTATTCCTTTTATTTTAGTGAGAACAACAACAAAAAAATGTTTGTCTTAATATCTATTTCATGTTAAGTCAGTAGAATCTTCCCTGGAGTATCCCATTTACTCCTGAACTGTGGATTGGCGTGAAGGGATACCCCAGCCAGACACCTGTGGGGACAGCTCCGTCTTCTTCCACCCCACCTTCATGGGAAGGTGATTGCCTGGGAGTCGGGCCTTCTCTGCCTCAGCCTCTTAACCTGGGGTCTGTGAGCCAGTCAGGGATCCGGATCCCTCTGAAGTTACACATAAATTTGGAGTGTATGTGCATCAGTGTGGGAGAAGGAAAGGAGAAGCTTTTGTTGAATTCTCAAGGATGTCAGTGACCCAGACAGGCCCAGAGTCCCACCCTGAGCTGAGGAGTCTGCGCTCCCTTCTGCCATGTGGGAGCCGCTGCCTGCGGGGGGAGGCCAGCTTGGTGTTCTGAGCTGGATTGCAGGCTGCGTGTTTTCCATCTGGAGGACAGTTCAGTGAAGTAGAAGTAGCACTTCGTGCTCTATGTGCTTCAGGTACATTCTGTTCAATGGGCTTTTGTGGTCGCTCCTGAGAATCTGTGTAGGATCTGTATATGAAATTGTTTCTGTGGGGAAAACACATTTTCAGTTCCAAACAGCCAATTTATCAAAACAAAACAAAAAACCCTCTTACAACCTGATTGTTTAGAAAGTGACAAATGGGTTGTGATAGCACTAAATGTTCATTTCTGGAAAGCAATATTCATATGTTTCAATATCATGATGACCTTGATACCCCCACAGTTCAGGGGGATCTCTGGTGGGCTCTAGTCAGACCCTGAGCTGCAGATGTCCCTCTTCCTTGGGCCCATTTGAGAAGGACCAACTCTTGGTGCAGCTGAGAATTGCAGCCACTCCCTGGGCTAGATTCCATCAGGGACAGTTTCCTCCACCGAGTCATCTCATGGCTCCCCCAGAGCACTCTGTCCAGAGGAAGGGCGTGATGGCGCTGGCCTGGGACCTCGGTGATCACTTAGATTTTCTGTTATCAGTGGGGGGAGGGAACACTGTGGGGCCCCTTGTCCCTGGGAAGGACGAGGTGAGCATGGACTGGGGAGGCTGGGAACAGGCAGGAATGGAATGGACATGTTTATGTCTTGGTGCCACTTGGAGCTGAGCTCTGCAGGAACGGCCTTGGAGGAGACAGAACTTGCGTCTCAGCCAAGTGCTCGGATGGAGGCAGGAGAGCTGTTTCTGTGGCTCAGTGGCTTCTGAAAGGTGTGGGAGGTCTCCTCTGATAATACTGGTATGTGTCTGTTCTGTCTTCCTTTCTTGTCTTTCTTTTTCCTAACAATCAGTAGTAGAATTCTGGGGCTCTCAGCTGCCACACAGTAGGTCACTCCACAAGAAGGCTATCATGTCCCTGCTATCTGCTTAGCCTGGTTATGTGCGGCCCCCACACAGCCAGGTCACCTTGAGAGTGGTCTGCAGCCTGAGTCAGTCTGGACCTCTTTGCCCCACAGCGCCGCCTCACCATAGAAGGCAGAAAGTACTCTTTCTACTAAAAGGAAAACGATTTACAGATGTCTTCACATCACCTACAGAAGCGCTTGTTTCCTTTTTAGTGTATTAATTTTATTATTCGTGACATCTTACTGCATTCATGTGGTTGTAAGGAGAGGGCAAAGCCGTCTTTATCCCAAGAAAATGCCATTAGTTTGGAAACGACGAGTCAGATCCCTGTGCCTGTCATGTCTTACCTCCTCCCATTTGGGGACAGTTGGAACTTCATTTTTCCCCAATACTCTTGCTTCTGTGAACTCTTATTCCCATTTCAAGGCCCAGACCCCCTTCTGCCTTGGAGAAGATGGTGGTAGTGACAGTGGCCTGGTGCTGGGAGGCACACACTGCCTGTGGCATCCAGCCAGATTGCTTGGGTTTTCAGCCCAGCCCTGACGTGTGGCTACATATGTAGTGGTCACCCACCCTCTCGGTGCCTCAGTTTTCTCATCTGTGAAATGAAGATAACGTCAGTTCATACCTTGTAGGGCTGTCGTGAGGCTATGAAGCGCTTAGAGCAGGGCATGGGATGCAGGACCCGTACACATATGGCTAGTATTGTTTATGTGGTTACTTCATTTTTGCCTCTTGCCCCCATCACCCCCATGGGTTAAGCAAAAGATTTCTTTTCTCTGAGCTGGGGCTTGTTCTCCTTTTCTCCCAGGTACTGGTGTCTGGGAAGAGGGCCAGCTGTCTTAGAGAGGTGGTGGCAGGGGACATCACCATGGGAGTGATGGGATTTCTCTTGATTTCTTCCCTCAGGGTGTGGACACTGTAAGAAAATGAAGCCAGAGTTTGAGGGTGCAGCGGAAGTCCTCCATGGAGAAGCAGACGTAAGCTTCCTTCCTTAACCTTTCCTCGCCGTTCTCTTGTAAAGAATCAATGACATGAATCATTACAAAGACTTTCCCCTCCGACCTCCGCAGCAGCTCTCTCAGTCCTAGAGGTCTGCAGTACTTCTGTGTCCCCGAGTAAACATGTCTTAGAAGGCGGGCCCCCTACCAGGGATGGAGGGGTATAGAGAGACTATGGACGCAGGAGCCCTCTGCCAGGTCATGGCTCTGGGGTGAGGCCCAAGGTGGTCACTCTTTTTTCTGGGATCCTGGCTACTGGGAACAGCTACAGTCTACACAACCTCATTGATGAGGCTGATTTAAAAGCCTCATCTCAGCCCACAAATGAGAAATGGTGGACATGCCAGTGTCCCGTCATTCCCTGAGATATATGAGCCCAGGGACCAGCCACCCCCTGTGAAGTTCCAATGGGTCCAGGGTGGGTTGGGGGCTGGTGTCTGGGCTCCTCTTGTGCCAGCACTGCGTCTGAGGCTGTCATGCATGGTTGGCCTCTCCCCCATCCCAGAGCTCTGGTGTCCTTGCAGCTGTCGATGCCACTGTCAACAAGGCCCTGGCAGAAAGATTCCACATCTCCGAGTTTCCTACACTGAAGTATTTTAAGAATGGAGAGAAATATGCAGTGCCGGTGCTCAGAACAAAGAAGAACTTTATTGAGTGGTTGCGAAAGTAAGTCTGATGGTCTTGACAGCACATCTTGACTCCTGGCTGTTGGCCACTGGAGATGGCCTTGAGGAGATGAAGTGAACCTTAGGGGCCGCTGACCTTGGCCCAGGGCCACGGGAGCCAAGACCGATTTGGCCTCTCCAATCCTGAAGCCACCTCTGGTGTGCTGACCACGTGTCCTTGTCCAGCAGGTCACTGGTGGTCCTTCTGGATGTAGCTTCATCAGTGCCAGGAAGCCGTGTGTTTCTCTTTTTAGAGGGCCCCTTTCCTAGTGTCCTAGCCCCAGGTTTCATCACCTGCATTTTATTCCATCCCCTTTGAAGGAAGGGAAAAACCCAGCTCTTCACATCCAGAGCAGGACTCTCTTAGGCTCACGTTTCCTGGTGGTTCACAGGGCCTCCGGTAGTGTCCACAGTGCAGCCTGCAGTGGTCTGGGGTTGAGAATAAGATTTCAAAGAGCTCCCTCCGCCTGTCTATTAGTTTGCTAGGGCTGCCACAAGTAACACAGACTGGGTGGTTTAACAGCAGAAGTTTATTTTCTCGCAATTCTGAAGACCTGAAATCCAAGATAAGATGTCAGCAGGGTTGGTTTCTTCTGAGGCCTCTCTCCCCAGCCATCTTCTCCTTGTGTCTCACCTGGCCTTCCCTCTGTGAGTGTCCATCTCCTTTCTTAAAAGGACACCAGTAAGATTGGGGTTAGGGCCCCACCCTAATGATGTCGTTTTAACTCACTTACCTCTCTAAAGACCCTATCTCCAAACACAGTCACATTCTGAGGTACTGGGGTTAGGACTTCAACATAGGAATTGGGGGGGATACAATTCAGCTCATAACAGCCTGCAAGTCCAGAGAACCTGAGTAGCCTCGAGATTACTGGCCCAAGGACTTTGGAGCCTGCAGTTAGCATTTCCTCTTCCCGTGAGGGGACTAACTGGGCCGTCATGAAGACGCCCTGGAAAGTGGAAGAAGCCCTGGGCCTTGCTTGAGAGGCAGAAATTGTTAGGACACAGTTGAGGAGCCTTTCTCCTGCCTACATACCCCCCAACACACACACACACACAAGCACACTCACACATGACTTGAATATTCGAGAATATTTCCTCATTTCAGCACTGGGAGAAGATAAAGTAAAAGAAGACATGTCCTGGCCTTTGCAGAGGTCCCTGGTACATGGTGTAATGATGCCCATGTGAGAACCAAGACTTTATAGAGTCACAAAGTGACATCAGAATGGTGCAAAATAGCCACGTCTAGATTGGTTACTTTGTTAGGACATCGGTCCTCAAACTTGGATGTACATAAGTGTCACCTGGCATTGGGGTGCTTATTTATTTATTTAATGTGTAGTCTTTTTTTTTTTTTATAATTTTATTTATTTATTTATTTTTCCCCCAAAGCCCCAGTAGATAGTCGTATGTCATAGCTGCACATCCTTCTAGTTGCTGTATGTGGGACGTGGCCTCAGCATGGCCGGAGAAGCGGTGCGTCGGTGCACGCCCGGGATCCGAACCCGGGCCGCCAGCGGCGGAGCGCAGGCACTTTAACCGCTAAGCCACGGGGCCAGCCCGAGGTGCTTATTTAAAGTGCAGATTCTGGGGCTGTTGTCCCCGAAGCTTTAATTCAGGAAGTGTGAATGGGACCCTCAGCCATAGCGTCTTGAGAAACACCAGCTTACGGGATGGGAGCAAAGTTACTCGTAAGTTCAGGAGAGGCCTCTGGCAAGAGGTGAGTGGGCTGGCGAGGTCCTGGTCTCAGCTCCTTCCACTTTGTCCTGCTCATCACTGTGGGGGATTCTAAGAGTTGCCAGCCCTTTTCTTAGGGACCAGAGGAGAGTAATGGTTCACCTCCAAAAGGGACGAGGTGCTCTCTGCCCTGGGCCTTTTGGTGTCTGAACCAGGTTGCTGTTCATACCTGCCTCTCCAGCCTCACTCTGGTGCCAGGCCTGGTTCACTGGGAAGGGTTGAGTGGGGTGAGGGTTCAGGCAGGGTCCATGGTGCTTGCACTTGTGGTTAGAGAGCCGAGGGACTCAGGAGTCTTAATCTTTGCTAATCCCTGCTCCAGAGACTGGACACCAATAGTGAGCACGGAGGGTCTCTTTCCTTTCTGTGTGTAGTCGCCGTGCTGACACCAAAGAAAGGTAAGAGCGTGGACTTTGGACTCGGGGAGACTGCGCTCAGGTCGTGACCCTGAGCTGTTTACTCGACCCTGCTAAGCCCCGGTTTCCCATCTGTAGAATGGAGACAATACTTTTCCCATAGAATTGTCTAGAGAGTTAAACTAGACTGTTGTGCATAGCACAGTGCACAGTGTGGAAATACTCAAAGAAGGGAAGGTGTTTTTATTATTGATGCCAGGTCACGTGGAGCTGTAGCAGACAGTAGCACCGTGTAAGTGGTAGTACCTTCCCAGCCCTTGCAGAATGCTTTTACATCTGTTGCCCCATTCCATCCTCAGATCCTACTGAGGGCAGAGTTTTTATTCCTGTTTCCTTGATGAAGAAACTTAGATTCAGAGAGGTTAAGGGCCTTGCCCAGGGACAAATAGCAGTTCTTTTGGGAGCTTAGAAGGAATGCTTCAGGTGGAGCGTGAATGGCAGATGGCTCTGAGACGGAGAGTTGAGGCTTGTCACCTGGAAGCAGAGTGAGCAGACGGCATTGGTGAGGTGATGGTGTGTCCAGGCTTGTGCACAGGCGGCCATGCTGCGGGTGACTGAGATGTGCCATCCTGGGGAGGTGGGATCCAGGGAGCGGGCAGAGCAGAAAGGTCAGGTAGGCAGTGTCAGCCACGGAGCCAGGGTTTATGACAGGAGACCTGGAGGACCAAGAAAAGTGAGGAAGACAGGGAGGCCGGGAGGGGCCCGTCTGGGTCAGGAGAGCAGGGGTGCCGTTAACCACAATGGAGAAGTTGGGGAGCTGATTTGGGAGGTGTGGAGGAGGGGGGAAATTGATATGTTCTAAGTCTTGTTGGGATTGGGGTGACAGTGGGACCTCCAGGTGGGAATACTGAAAAACACCCAGAAATGGGGGCTTGGATGAAAGGTCAGGGCTTAAGTCCATCCCCTCAGCCATGGGGTCATGGAAGCCGTGCAGATGGGTGCAATCTTCTGAGAACTGCAGGGGCTCAGAGACAGAACCAGAAGAACAGAGAGGGCTGGCGGAAAGGTGGGGAAGGCGCCTGGTAGAAAGGGCTTCCGGAAAGTGAGAGTCATCTGCGTGGCTGGCTGAGGGGGAGAGTGCAGGGGGAGGATGTGGCAGCACTGGGTGCAGACCACTCCCCAGAGACCCTTCTCAGACAAGAGAGAGAAGTGGGGTTGTAGAGAGGGCGGCAAGGGCAGCAAAGGCTTTTAAAAGACCCTGGAGATCTATACTTGAGTGAGGCAGAGTGGAGGGAGCCAGAGAACGGGAAGAGACTGAGAAAGTATATACACTGATTGAACGCTGTCATTTATTAGAGCCTCTAGGCTCTCAGCAACTATTAGCTGCTTGACTGATGAGGTGCTTTACATACACTGTTTCTGCCTTCATAAGGATCCCAGAAAGTAGGTATCATTTTCCTCATTTAACAGAACAGAAAATGGAAGCTCAGAGGGATTTAGTAACTTACCTAAGGTCGCACTGCTGGATTTGTACTCCTTGGCCCATGCTCTCTCCACCAGGACAAAGTCTCAGGAGCAGAAGATAAGGACAGTCCTTTAGGGTCCCAGAAGGCAGTGGGAAGGGGCGGGGGCACCCAGGTGGAGGAGCTTCTATACTGGAGGCGAGGAGGTGAGGGCCCACACCTGGAGAGGCTGCCTTGCCCTGAAGGGGGCTCAGGGCTTCCACAACTTCACAAAATGCCTTCTCAGTAGGCTCCTCAGAGGGAATCAGAATGTCTTTGCTGATGGTACAGATTTGTTTGTGTTTAAACTGAGGTTTTAAAATGAAATTTTAGGAAGGATATAAATGTCCTCTCGGGTGCTCCCCTGAGTGGTTGGGGGGTGGGGGTGCAAGTGCTTGCCTGTCCATGGGCCTCCTTCTGACTGTCTCCCCTCCGCCCCCGCTTCCTGCAGCCCCGAGGCCCCCCCACCCCCAGAGCCCACTTGGGAAGAGCAGCAGACCAGCGTGTTGCATCTGGTGGGGGACAACTTCCGGGAGACTCTGAAGAAGAAGAAACACACCTTGGTCATGTTCTATGCCCCTTGTAAGTAGCTGGGGTGCTCACCAAAGACGGCGGTAGAGGGCTGGGCCCAACCAAACCAAGAAGAGCCCCCTGGGGACCAGGGCAGCCACAGGTCAACTCTGGGCTCGTCTCTGCTATGAGACGATTTGATTCCAGGCTGAGGTCCTTCAAAGTCCAGGGCTCCTTCTATCAGCTCTGTCAGCTTCTCTCCCTCTTTCTGGGGAGCATTTCCCACGTCATTCCTAAAGCCCTCTGCTCCTGTTTGTGGTAGGGACCTGCGGTATCATTGTTCAGTCTCCTCGTGTCCCTGGAATCTGCTGGCTGCCTGCCTCCCACCTGGCCACTGCCTTCCACTCCTTAGCCCCCTCCATCTCTCAGGCGTGACTTCACCTTTAAGCCTTGGAACTGAGCAACTTGGAATTTAGCCGTCCCATTTAGGCTTCTGCTCCCTTGTCTTCCTGAGCGCCCCGAGCCCGGGCCCTGTCGTGATCTTCCCAGGCGGCTTTGAAGCTCTGGTAAAGGCACGCTCACGTTTGCTCCGAGCTCGCCCGCCCGTGATCCTCCCCTGCCGTCCTCGTTTTAGTCAGAGCTTAAGTTGAGGAGGTGACACGTTAGTCTGCTAACTTTGGTGTTGGTGACCTCGGGTTTCTGTGTATTCCCATTGTGAAGGTGTTAATTGATACTTAAAAGGAAAGGCTCTTGAATTCCCACTCCTCTGTTTTCCTTGTCTCCCTCCCCCAGGTTACAGCTCAGCTGTAGTGCGGATAATAAAGCTTTGCTCTGCAGAGAAGCCAGGCACCTCCGTCTAGTCATAAACCCGCTGGGTTGTAGCCAACCCTCCTGTTTGCGCCCCTCCTGCCCCCACTTTCCAAGTGTCGATGATCCGTAATGTTTCTTCTCAGCTCTCACTGTCAGAGGGGTGGCCTCCTGGCCCCACCATCTCCGAGCCTCAGACCCCACCCTCAAGCAGCTAATACATCCTACCAGTTCCTTGCGGAGCTTCTCGCTGTCCTCATCCATCCTAGGAGTTTGCTAGAAGACTGGGTGGATTTTCAGAGGTTAACGTCTTCCTTCAGGGCAGAGTGGGGGTGCAGGACTGAGGCCCAGGAGATGCTGACTTGCCCAAGGCCTCGTAGCAAGTTAATGACAGCATTCTTCCCGCAGCCTGGTCTGGTGCTCTCTTTTTGTCCCAGACATGATTCAGAGAGTAAGAGCTTTCTCAGCAATGAGCGAGAACCTGGCCATGGAAGTAGGAGTCCTTGATGAACCACTGGGTGGACTTGAGCAAGTCCAGACTAAATACTTTCCCCCGGAAATGCCCCTCTCTCCCCCCAGACCTCTGGACCCCAGCCAAACCTGGCATTCCCTCAGCCTTTCCAGACCCTTCCTTACCAAGGGGCCTTCGTGATAGACAGCAAGGCCCCAGTGGCTGCTGGGGCAGAAGGTTCCTAAATCCCCAGGGAATGGGATGGGGACTCTATCCCTGCAGGGTGCTAACGACCTTCCTCTCTCCTTCCCTCAAATAACAGCTGTGTGCTGGGTCGTGATCTGGGCCCAGGATACAAGGGAAGGAGGCATAGTCCCTGCCAGGCCTCAAAGGCCTCACAATCTACTCTGGCAAGAAATAACTCTAGACACAGTCCATTTGGGGCCGTGTCACTGAGCAAGTCAGTTTTTGGCAAAGGGCTTTGCACCAGAGAGTCCCATCTCCCTGACTGCACTTTCCTGTCCCTGAACTCTGCACCAGACTCCTAAGACATGCTCATCATTGGGTTAAGGGGTTGGGGGGACTATCCAAAGACAGTCTTTTTAATTTTTTCAATGATAAAAATAATATGTACTTATTTGTAATATGTAGTATAAAGTGTATACTTATTTTTGTATAAAGAATCTAAATAGTACAGACGGGTCAGACACCTGATAAAGGCAGGTATAAAGGAAAAAGCAAAAGCCAACCCCCCCATCCCTCCCGCCATCTCTCCTCCCCTCATATCCCTCCCCCATTTCTCCTCCCCCCACATTCCTACCCCATCCCACCTCCCTCCCATCCCACTTCCCCAGTTTCTGCACAGATCTTCCTCCTGGTGTTTCATTGTTCTGTCCTATTCCAAGCCCCGTCTGCTCTGAATGGTCTGGTCATGGTGACTGCCCTTCTTATTAGGCCAGCTTGGCTGAGTCTCTAGACTTGGAATTTTCTGTCCTGTCCTCAGTTTTTGTTTCTCTGGGAGGCTTCTTTGGTTTCCTGCTACACAGAGGTGGTGCCTTTTTTTAAAGAGCTCAAACTAAACAATCCTGCCTCTTTGGCCCACCTGACACCTCTTGGAAACATCTCCATGCTCTTTCTAGAGCAGGCTCCCCTCTGGTTATTCATCTGCCGTGCTCTTTCTTTTGGATAATGAGAACATTAGATGCACCAGAAGGCCATTAATTCAAGACTTAAATACTTTAAACTGATGGTAATAGGAATTTGCACTAGGCTGACAGTTACCTTTATACTGTCAGTAAGCAAAG